CTGAGAGGAATTCTAGACTTTTCTGCATTTCGTTCAGTTTTTGGTAAATAATTATATTTGAAATAGTTTCAGTGGCGTCCATTTTATCTTTATCAGGTACTTTTTTTGTGTTTTCCTTTCTTGTGGAGGTCCTGGCTCGGAGACTTTTTTCCCTAAGTTTCTTAATGGCTCTTGTAACCCTTCCATCGGAAACTTGAAATGTCTGTAGAAGAAACTTCTTGCACATTCTAACTGTGGTATTCGCTTTTTGTAAATAATATTTGCTTGAAGCTCCTTTATTGCCCCTGCTACCATCACCAGGGCGCCTTTGCTTAACACCCATTTGCTTTTAACACCCATTTGGTGAATCAAACCACATAGATATGCATTTTGCCTCGAGAAATCAGCCATGGCATAGACATTTTCGAACATCGATTTCCTTTAATCTTCTGTGACAGAGTCACTACATTTGCTTGCACAGCCACAGTCGGAATTTCGAAAAAAAAATGTTTTCTATCAAAACACTCTTCACATTTACGTACGCCTTACCAGTGTTACGTAGTCGTTTTGCAGTTTCTCTTTTGGATGGGTTTCTTTGACGTTTTCGAGATTTTTTCATTACACCCTGAGCTTCCACTGGCGGCGAATTTTCTCTCACAGCTGCAACAGGTGAATCTGCAGTGAAGACATCTGCAACAATAAAACGTGAAAGTTCTAACTACCTATAGCATAAAAAACAATATTCAAAACCAATACAGCTAAAATAAGACAACAATGAATACTATTACTTACTTACCTGATGCCTCAGATAAACTGTTATCGGATGTTTCGAAAGTCGGATCCTTGATACTATCATCGCTATCCTCACTCCACTCAGTAATACTCAATTCCCTGCATCCATTTGTCGACGCCATGGCATTCATAAACAAAGTAAACAACAGATTTACCCAAAATTATGTCTATTATTTTAATGACGTTCGTAATGAGCACGACGCCACATAACCTTACAACCGTCTTTGACATAAACTTTATAAACATAGTGGTGTAACTCTGACTTACACCATTATGATTCAGTATGTTTAGCACTTTGAATAAGAAGACTAAGGAAGGAGCATATCAAAAATCTTAGGTACACAGCGATGGGCCTCAAATATGGCCGACTTAAATTCCGGTTTATCAGTGTCGTTCTAATTTTATTTAAAAAATGTAAAACTATGATGTAGGGTAGACGTGGGGTAGACTCAATAATTTGTTGTTTTATTTTACGTTGTGAATAAATGTTGGTAGTTATTAAAATTGTTATAAAAATATATAATTCTAATAAAAATAGATAAGTTATAATAAGTATTTATTAACACAAACATCCGATACGCTACTGAAGCAGGTAAGTCAAATTAACGTATCTAAATTCTTTGGCATCTAATCTTTGACAAGTAATAAATAAAAGCTAAAATGCAAGAAAAATATATAATTTAGTTAATTTAAGTGAATTTCATAAATGATCGGTTTACTACACGTATGTATATTATATAGTCACTTACTAGCGAAAAGTTGTTCCATTATTTCACTCAATTTTTGCCGAGATCTACCGCACGCTACACAACCAATATTTTAGAGTCTTTTTCGATAAATCGCGATAGTGTCACTGTTAATTTAAGTTCTGCCACAATTTCCATCTAGATTTACTACCTTTATACAACTATCAGTAGTAGAATAAATAATAAATAACATAAAATAAGCTCCGTAAAGACTGACAAATCCACAAAATTTCAAATCAAATTCAAATGTGTCAAATGAATCGTCAAACAGAACTGTCAAGGATCCCACCCTAGAGTGCTTTTATGGTGCCTTTTCCGCCCACCATGCATGAATACATGGATAGCATTATGCTCCTTCCTTAGTCTTCTTATTCAAAGGTTTAGCTCTAGTCGTTTATACCACAAAACTGATGGCGCCATCTCGTAACATATGGTTGAAATATGACTTACTTCGCTATATTCCTAAGTGGAGTTTGTGTTTCTAAACCCTAATAGTGGTGTAACATAATTTTTAATTTTTTCTGGCTTGCACACTATATTACTCAGCCCCTCAATTGTTACTGACAAGAGAAGATACATCAAGAAGGTTTTTCATAATAGATCTAATATTTGCATGACCAATTTTAACTAAATCATTCCTACTCGCCATAATTTACAAATACAAAAAATAAACTAATAGATCAGTCACAGAATATTAATTCATTCGCCATAATCAATTTTACCTTGAATTTTTGAAATATAATTTATGTAAAGTGTACAATTTGAACTATTAGCGGTATTATCTACTTTTATCTGTTTATTAAAAATTTTTTGTTATAATTTATACAATTAATACATTTTGACTCCGTAGACTGACACATTTTAATATTATGGCTTTCTGAACAGTTAGAACAAACTAAATTATTTTACAATCTTTTTCATAATGACCATACTATATGTTTATGGCCGTTTGTTTCTTTGTGTACAAAAAGAACCGTTTTCTTGTGTACTGTTGAAAACCGCCGCGTTAAAGGATGGTCAAAGAAACTTTCGGTACATTGTTGCCAGATTGTAATAAAAGTATTGTATATTGGTAAAATAATATCGATTCGTTACTTAAAGGGCGCGTACAATTTTTGTAATTCACTAAATATTAAAATATGAAGGTTTCCAACTAAGACGTTATAATAATGGATTTTTGGGAAGCTTATTTCAACGACATTACCCGTAATCCGATATACTGATCATGCGCAGTGATAATAACGTTACCGCTTGACGGAGCTGGTCCGCAAATTACGGCAAGCATAATGTTTAATAGCGGGCGTATAGTGTTAAAAATCGACTCGCGCACATCATACCCACAGTTTATACCGTATAGGAATCAGTTATTTAACTATATTGGATATGGTAAAGCCAGATTTGATTTTTTATGCAAGCCTCGTATTTCGCGCATGCGCTTCATGGGCTGAAAATGTATGCCGCGATCATGTTTATCTCTCTTGGTTGTAACGTAATAGAAAAAGAGAAAACTACCGGACCGGAATTGTTATTAAAAGGAAAATATGAGGAAAGTGTTCCTATTGGTTGGATAGTATGGCTTCAAAATAATGTGGGGAGGTTAACAGTTTCGATCCGGTATTCGGTGTAGTTTTGTATATTTCTATTACTTTACAACTAAGAGAGATAAACATTATCGCCGCAAACATTTTCAGTCCATGAAGCGCATGCGCGAAATACGAGGCTTGCATGAAAAATCAAATCTGGATTCACCATATTCAACAGAGTTAAATAACTGATTCGTATACGGTATAAACTGTGTCATACCTATCAAAATAAGGCTGGATCGATTATTTTTTTATCACTGCGCATAAGTAGTATAACGGATTACCGGTAATGTGGTTGAAATAAGCCGTCCAAAAACTCTTTTAAGTTTCTGGTCGAAATTTGACAACGTCTGAAAATGAAACTCAATATTTCGATTCAAATTTCATCAAACATCTTTTAAGGTATAGCTTAAATAGCATTACAGAATCAAAAGATTCAGTTTCTGACGCCATTATGCAAATTTTCTCAATCAAACTAAAAACATAAAAACCAATTAACTAATAAGTGTTTCTTGCAAAAGGCGATTATTAATTTGATTATTAGAAAAGGTTTCATACCTTTTCTAATAGGTTTTAAAAAAAATATAGTTAAATTTTACGAATATTTAAAGAAAAAATATTTAAAATGATAAAAAAGAGAAAGCGCTTCAATTTTGTGCATTAAAATGTTTATATATTTTATCAGAAAAATTTGTTGCGCAGACTAATCTATAACTTGTAACCTATTTATTTTCTGTTTTAAGTTAGGTAGTAGGTATATTCATCATGGTGGTATATTATGTTTAATTGCCATCGGCCATTTATTTATTATTTTCTGACAAAGTCACAATAATTATCATTTTTAGGGGGAGTTTTCCAGTTTGTGTTTGAATTAACTTGTGTTGATTCTGTATTTTTCTGGGCAAGAGTTATTTCACTGTATATTTTCTGTAATATCTTAGTTGGTTCTCTTTGCTGAGAAATAATATTTGTTACTTTGTCTTTATGTTTATTTTCGTCTTTTAAACTCCTTAAATGTATGCATTCATTCTCCAAGTATCCTACTTTATATATGCCATTTGGGTAAGTAATTTATGAATGTCAAAAAGTGCATTTTTAGTTGTTCCTTTGGCTCTTCTTTACAATCGCAATTTTTTTCTAGAATATACATGTAAAGAATTTCCATAGAATTTAATACTTTTTCAATTAAGGCTTCGTTTTTAATTTCCTGTGGTTCATTTTTTTTTCTTATTTTTTGTTTTTCTATATTCCCTGGGCTTGAATCTGATCTTGTCCTCTTTGAATTTAGCACCAAGGGTTCATTTGCATCAATTTGCCTCTCCTGACTTGGAGGTGAACGTGTAATAGAGTTTCGGGGTTTGAAGACATCATTATCATAAAACTGTTCATTTCATTTTTCATTGCTACCCTGTATATCGATATAATCAGTCCTAAGTTGTGACCTTGTTTTTATTACATCATTTTTGCTTTTTATTCCATCATTTTGCCATTTGAGAATTAGACCCATTTTTATCAATTTGTTCGGAATTTATGGCTGTTTTTTTATTGATGTGATATCTTTATGCGGTTCCAATTGTTTGTATTTGCCCGCACTGCTTGCACTCATCTTGCACTCATCATTATTTATTTAGTTCAAATAAAAACACTTTACTACACTTTAAATCTTTTATAAACAAGTCGTATTCGTACGAAAGCTGAAACTTAATATAAAAACACAGATAAAAGCTAGAATTCTTAACTTTTTTTACTAACTATGGAGGAAGTTTGAACATTTAACCTCTTTCTTCTAATTCGCGTGTGCGCCACGGTATAGTATCTGGACTACATCGGTAATTTGTAGGTACCCATATAGTTATTAATAGGTTATACAAATTTTACCTAATCCATTGTTAACTAACAAGACATATGAATGACATAAGTCACGAATGCGCATACAAAATTTTCCCTGTGTGAAACTTCATTTAATATTATATCGCTCTAAAATGTCATGTCAGAATCCGGGAAAATGCGAGAATAAATTTCAAGGGGGACCGAAAACTATCAAGTCCATTTTTGCTCGAAGCATTTTCGATTCACGAGGTAATCCGACAGTAGAGGTCGATCTTATTACTGATCTGGGGTTATTTAGAGCTGCCGTACCATCAGGAGCTAGTACAGGTAAGCCATTCGATTGTGTCATTCTAGGCGAATAAATGCATTTGAATTAAGTCTATAAATAAGAAGACTCGCCCCTCTGAAGTTCATATGCGTAGGCGCGTTCTCACGTTCGCAAAGTTTTGTATTTACTGACAGTTATTTTGGTGTTTAAAATAAAATATTTGAAATAAATTATGCATACATGCAGTCTATTATATTGAATGGACGAGGAAAATAATTATTTACGACTAACTAGAAAAACTATTTAGGTATTTTACGACGAAAAGTATATTTCTGCATGCAAAATTCTTACCAAAAAAATCGATTTACTTTGAGATAAAAATGTAATGTGTGTATAAAATGTTCTTATACAAAATGCTCAAAGACTCAAACGTGCACTTATAAAATTGCATTTTTCTAATTGGTCTAGAGAGAGACTTTCAGAGATAATAATACATAAAAAAATGTTCAACAGTAATCTTTTATCAAAGCCACCTAATATTTTTTTCTGGTATTTTACCATTGAATGAGCTATAGGTTCAACATTTGGTTGTTTGTAAAAAAAATCATCCGTTTCATTAAAATATTCAAATTTTATGTTTTTGGACACTGTAGCTTTACTGCCATATTGTCTTTTTTTTTCAAAATATTTTAATTTGAAATCTTTAAATTTATTTTTACATAGTTCTCCCGTCCTGTTTATAATTTCGTTACTAATTTTCTGCCACACTCGATTATTCCTTACGATTGACGATTTAAACATAACTTCATTTTATTTATATACACCTATGAGTTTTAAAATTTCTGCCCGAGACCAATTTACTTTCTGCTGCTCAAACTTACTTTCCACTTGTTCTCCTGTGATGGTCTCTGGTAGGTTTGTAGAAGTGGATGGAAGAACAAGTTCTTATTGAATATAGCAGAGTTCCATCTGAAAAATTTAGCTATTATTATTATTATTTTTGTACTTTTGCTTAGGCGTGAAAGTGCTTTACTTTTATGCTTAGGCGTTAAAATGAGTTTTTTATATTGCCAATCTCGTCGCAAAAATTAATACTTTTTTTGACGTTTGAAAAAAATAGTATATTCTTTTATTATGAGTAAACACGTATATTTCTATGAAAAAAGCTCACAGATTTCGCAATTGCTGCAACCATCAGAAACATTGGAAATGATAACACCACATATAAAACATAATTAACGTTATGATTTTTTATACAGATACCTTGAAATTAAGTAAATATATTATATCTTTTAATCCTTAAATCATTTCTGAAATATATCAATACCTAAATAAATTATATATATAAATATCGTTTCATTATAGGGTATGTTAGGTTAAAATTATGCTAAAATATTTCACATCTGGCAACCAACGCATCCTTTTGGATTTAGATAGTACATGGATAGACAAGTCTAAAAAGCTCGGGACACATATTTTTCTGGCCCTCTAGCGGTCTTGATGACGTAATCAAAATGGCCGCCAAAATTTTTAGACACGCTTCTATATTTCCCGCTATAAGTCAATTTTACTTTTCGATATTAACAAATATTGTTAGTGATTATAAAAGAGGAGCAAACGCGCTTTTTAATGGTATATTTCACAAAATTATTTACGTTTATAATACCAAAAATATTTGTTACTTAAAAAAATGTTTTTTAATTTCATTTTTTCGTCAGATTTTTCTAAATAACTTGAAATTCGCTATATGTAGCTAAAAATGTGTTCTATACTTTTTTCTTCGCAAAAAAATACCTTTACAACGGTATATATATATCTTCTATTTTATCATAACCAGTTGCTAAAAATCGGCCAAAACAATGTAGCGTTGCACAGCTAGTCGTTAGGACAGCAATGTAATTTATAGATATCGAAAAGTAATACAGCGGTTTTGTACCTGCTAAAAAGCAAAAAATTTAATAACTAATTTTAGATAAATAAGTGAATAAAGTATACCTTTTTTCGGAAGACGAAACTTTTATTTCCGTTTTAAAATCGCACACATGAAGCACACTCAAGGTATAACTGTAAAGTAGCTTTCAAACATGCAGTTATATATAGTGACAGAAGTCATATCCAGAGTAGAGGATTTGCATTACCCGTTCACTTATGATTACCGATCACTATCCGAGCACTGTCCTTCACATACACAAAGTTTTGTACAGCGTATTCCCATTTTAACACATTTACAAGATGTACATCGCTTGCAGCAAGTACAGGAGGTAAGTTCTACACAGTGTTTTGAAACTTCTGGAATTGTTATCCACACAGGTCGGTATAATCCTTCCGAAGTTAGTAACCATCCCCGCTCGGTTGGTGAAGGTATCGTCTATTGTGCAACGAGACTGTTGCTCCAAATTTTGGCTTGGAATGTTGTTTGATATGTTCCACCTTCACCTTTTATAACATTATTATTGTGTTCATGAAGCCTGATCGTCAAATATTGCAGAAAAAGTTGTGGCAGTTTTGCTGCTCGTAAAGTTACCACTTGCAGAGTGCTTTCAAATTTTGGCAGCCATCGAGAATAATGGACTGCATCCAACGAAAATGTCCATGGACATAACTGAGCCAAAGTGTTGACGTACATTGGAAAGTTAGATGTACGAATACTCAGTACAAGTTGAAGGGATTCCAGTTCGATGACTGTGTTCCAATATTGGAACTGCGGACATTCAGATTGTAACGTTTTTAGTTCGTTACATGTCTTTTTTACATATGATATATGATGTCTGGCCTATCATCACCGGATTCCCTCTCGTTCAAGCCGGATAGTTTATTTGACGCGCAATTTTTACGTTCCCAGCTATAAGCCTAGTCAGTAGCTACGGCTGTAAGGATTTATGGTATCGCTCTGTGGGAGCGCGCGCTGTCAACATCGCTTCTGTCAATTCTCTGTGATCTAACTTCACTTTTGGTTAGACTGTTTGGCCTGTCAGACGCCATTAGTCCCAGTTTTTGAGAAATGGTGATTATTTAAATCTTGCTGTGTAATCTGAATCAGCTGCCATTTCGAAGCTACAGGGTAGAGTTACGGATGTCCCAACTTGTATTTGTATTTGGCTGGCACGTTGGCGTCCCTTTGCTTTTGTCCTCCAGAATGTCATTTGGAAGAAAGGACAGATTGTTTATTATTTATTGAGCCCTCGGGAGTATTTCGAGGGTCTTACGGACGGACTATTTACAAGGTACGGGCATTATCCAAGGTCCTAGTATTCCCTTGTGCCACTGTCTTATGGACGGATGTCCCATGGACAAGTGTCCCCTGTAGGATTGATTTGTCTTCACATAGAGTGCCCCAGCGTGGGTGTGGCTTGAGCCCCGTGCTGCTTCACCCCCATTTCTAAGCCTGGATCGCCGACAGACAGTGCAGAGATGCAAGACCTCCTCGCGCTGCTACTGGTTGAAGCAGGGTTACATTAAAGAACAGCTAAGTGTAATTTTAAGTTCTAGTATTGCATTTAACACCTAAAATGTTTTCAGTCTTAAACAGTAACGTACATTTAAACTATAGCGTACAGACTATATTTAGTGGTTACATTATTAAGAATATTTATGTCAATGCAGTAGTAAAAGTGTGATTTAGATTTTAGATTTCATAATATCACGCATTGTAATGGTATTACTTTCTATAGACATCATTATTACGCTATACTAATAGATGAATGAAGTATTATACAATTGTGTTTTCTTTCCCTGTACATGCCTGGCGTCCAATATCTAGATATCTTTTGTTTATTATTATTGATTAATTTTCTCTCTAGTGAAATACCTTATCCACGACTGCTCTCCGATGAAAAGCTGCCGTTCGCAGTGGTAGTTGTTTTAAAAAACGCTACAAGATGTTTTTGACAAAATCCACTGTTCAATACCTTCTTCACTGAGACCAAAATTCGTTTCACATGCTTTGTTAAATACTTTTACCTGTAGACAATGGAAGGCAACTAAGTAACTTCATGTACATAGCGAGATCTTTTTACATGCGACGACGTAAGGTAGGATTTCGCCACACCAGAGCTTGCAATACCAGCGGTTGTTACTAATTCAGTCCATCCACTGCCTGTTAACCACTTGCCAAGTAAATTAATGACCATCATTTCTATGTGAAGGCCCCCCATCATAAATACAATGCGATCCTCACCATACTTGTCAGGGAATTTCCATTGCAGTTGCTTTCCGATAGCATATACTGGTTGATCAGCTGTTATCACGGGTGTTTGATTTTCATTCAATTTTGCAGTAGCTATTACTATGATATCCATCATATGACGTACCATTGATGGCGTTGTAATTTCGTCATTATGAGGTGGAAGGAACGACACATTACACCTAATTTTTTTAATACCAGGTTTAATGTGTGCATGAAAAGCAGCAAACGATATTGTAGGCAAATGCTTTAATACTTGTATGTCTTCAATATACACTCTCTGAATGCAGGATCGTGTATACACACTCGTGAATGCAGGATCGTGGTCAGTGTACTGTGGATTGACAGTTGGCAAAGGTGGGTCACTTGTTACTTTACCAGTTACAGGAAGAGTAGTGTAATGTTCAGGTTGATCGTTGACAATTTGTTTGTTCTACTGCTGGATACGAATACTGTCATCGTCAATCTCTATAGTTGCTTCACTGTGAGGATGCTGAATAATAGTAACACTTGAACCATGGAAAGAAGGTACGGCAGTAGAAGAAGACTGGTTGTGACCAATGTTATCTATTGCTAATGTTACAAACACAGTGGGACACGACTTCGGAGGGTAAACACCATCTTCCGTATATTTTTACAAATACATTAAAAATTACAGGAATTTCATTTGATAGTTAAATAGTCATTAGGTGTATTACTTTTCAGGATCTATATAAATTGTGTTTTTACCATAACGACTAGATGTGTATAATATTTTGGCAAATTGTCAAAAACCGTATGCGACAAAGTGTATACCGCTATACTGCTAGAAAGGTAAATCTCTGACGAACAAAAAGTATATGACACGTTTTTAGCTAAATGTAACTGATTTCAAGTTATTTAGCAAAATGCGATGAAAAAAATTAAAATTAAAAAAATAAAATTTCAAATATTTTTGGTTTCGTGAACCCGAGTGTGAACCTAAACTATAAAACTAAATACACCGTTGGGAAGCATGTTTTCTCCTAATTCATAATTACTAAAAACCTATGTTAATATCGAAAAGGAAAATTGAGTTATAACGGGAAATCTAGAAGCATGTCTCAAAATTTTAGCGGCCATTTTGATTACGTCATCAAGACCGCTAGAGGGCCAGAAAAATTTGTGTCCCGAGCTTTTTAGACTCGTCTACCTATGTACTATCTGAATCCAAAAGGACGCATTGGTTGCCAGATGTGAAACTTTTTTCAGTCATTTCACCCCACTATTACAAACAACATAAATCATTTTCAAAACCCAAATCAAAACCTACGAAAATAGTACTGTTTTGTAACCTTTATAAATATCAATATCAATCTGTTCAATTTTATAATCGCCCCCCGTAGCATAGTGGTCAAGTAATATTGTCGGGACTAACAAAATTAAACCTCGTATATCGCCGAGAGTTTCGTTTTGGTTTCGTGCTGTCAGGCCAGTTCACCTAAATTAGGCATCACGCGACAAAACGTTTGTTCCAACCGGACGAGAGTACCGTCCTAGAACGGTAATTTCCTATCAGTCAATTCATTTGTTAATTTTGACAAACGATAAAATTTTTCAAGCAATAAGTGGGCGACTAGAAATTACCGTCACAGGATAGGTTCTCGGTCTGGTTGGAACGAACCTAAAGTTTTGATGCTTTAATTTGGTCGACTGTGCGACTAGTGCGACACCGGTGTTTTATTTATTTATTCGTGTCAAAAGCGTTGCATATAAAAAAATATATATATGTACAAAAATACTAATAAAAAAATATATATACAAAGTGTATAAAGACAAACAGAAGAAAATTGCAAAGGTAAAATTGAAGACAGTTACAAACATAAAAATTGTAAAAAAAAACAAGAAAAAAAATGAACATTGTACAAACACTAAATATTATCAGACCAAAAATTAGCAACATCGACGGCATTTCCTGTGGCCTGCAACAGGTCGTCAAACGTACAAGAAACTGGACACTGAGGGCAGTTATATAGATGTCTGGTGGTTTGTTCTGTACCACATTCGCATAATGTTGATATATCTGTTAGAAAATTCCATTTGGCCATATTATCTTTTGTTCTGCCAATCCCACTTCTTAATCTGTTGAGAGATTGCCATGTTTTCCACTGCAGGTCTGCACCTGGCGGAAGGGATTCAGAAGGTGGAATCCATGATGCGATATCTGCATTTGTGTCCACAAGTTTTGTCGCGCCATCGATGGAGGTGCACCGTCATCGATAGTGGTTTTTAGGAAGCTCTTTCTAGATTTCAATCTATTTAGGGGATGTTGATGTCCATGCAACGGATGAGCAGCGTTTACTTCCATCTTATGTCTCTCGGTGTTCGCGGCAACTTCTCTTCTTATATCTGGCGGGGCTATCCCTGCCAAACTGTAGAGTTTGAAGGCAGGCTTAGCCCTCAGACATCCTGATGTTATTCGACAGGTCTCGTTCAAGGCAATATCCACATGACTGGCATGGGCAGATCTGTACCAAACAGGGCAGGCATATTCTGCAGCAGAATAGCATAATGCAAGCGCCGATGTTCTGAGTACTGCTGGTTGAGCACACCCTCCGTTACTTGTGAGCTTCCTAATAACATTATTGCGGGCAGATACTTTCTGTTTAGTATTTAAACAGTGCTTCCTAAATGTGAGCGAACGATCTAGAGTAACCCCCAGATATTTTGGATTACGGCAGTGTTCCAGCTCCATACAACTTTTAATTTTCTATTGGCAGCTTTGTTACGGAAATGAAAGGCACATACTTGGGTTTTAGCCGGATTCAGTTTTAGATGGTTATCTTGATAATATGCCGTGAGAGTGTGAAGTCCATTTGTTAGACACATTTCTGCTGTTTCGAAATCCTTGGCTTGAGATATTAGCTCAATCGTCAGCATAAATAAAACTTTTTTGTGTTAGGTCGTTGCTATAGATGTTGAATAAGATTGGTGACAGAACGCTACCTTGGGGTAGGCTACTTTTTTTATCCTCCACGTACTCTTCATGCCATTTAGTTCTACATAGAATCTATGGTTCTGGAGAAGAACTCTTACGAGGCTAGTAAAGAACGGTTGAAATTTTCACACCGGTGCTGAAATGCTTGAAAGAAAACTCGAAATTTGGCCCCCATATACGAACATAAACATTTCCAATGTTAAAATATTTTTGAACAAAATTGTCCAGTCTTTGTATTTTTTTGATGTTAAATAAATTCTCTTTTGATTATACCCTTGACCTTCGGGTGTATTTTATTCTGACTAATAATTTTTAATTTAATAAGGCGTCCATGAAGCTCTGGAACTTAGAGATAATATACCGGCTCAATATGTAGGAAAAGGAGTGAATAAAGCTGTAGATAATATTAATAACTCTATCGGACCGGAGTTGATTAATCAAAGTTTTGACGTCACACAGCAAGAAGAAATTGATGAATTTATGATAAAACTGGATGGAACTGAAAATAAATCTAATTTTGGTGCAAATGCTATCTTAGGTATGATTGATGACAATAAAATAAATAATTTCTAAGAGTGTTATACCGCGACCGCACATGCGGCAGTCGGCGATTTCCGAGCACTCGACATCGGACTTCGCCTTTCCGTCCACACATGCGGGCATCGCCGAGGGATAGCAACAACATACAGGGTTGTTCACCAAATACGACACGGAGTGTTGTAGCGAAATGATTAGATTTTTACAAATTGTAAGTTTTGGGTTCGTTGAAGGACTATTAGAGCTACAATTTAAAAATATTTTTACAAGATACAGAGTGTCCCAAATAAATAAAAAAATATCAAAGTTGTATTTTTTTAAATGGAACACCCTGTATATTATTTCATTTTTAGTTTCTACGATTAAAAAAAAAGGTAAATTTGATTAAGGTTTACCGCACTTTAATCTTACCGTTTTTGAAATATTTTCAATTTTGTGAAATTGCAGTCAAAATTTTAAGGCTTCATTTCTCCAAGGGTATCAAAGTTTTTAATACTAAATATTTACTGAAGTTTATTTATTGATCAGTTATTGTGTTGCAATAGTAAAAATTTTACCACCTTAAATAATTACTAGCTTTAAACGGCAATAACTTGTTTAATTTAAATAGAACACCCTGTATATTTTATGAGAATCAGATGCACAATTTAATTGTCTATCAAATTGTATTATACCATTTTTTACCTATCTCTTCAAGTATCCGTAGAAAATACATTTTCTTGTAATTTAAAACTCATTTATCAATATACCCATGGAATACTGACATTTTAGATTATTTTTAAAGACGTACCAAATTTTTAAAGAGTACAGATATCAATATTGTCGATATAGTTTGTTTATTTCATTAAAAAAAACTGTTTAAATATTTGTTAAAGAGGACCAATTAATATGATTCCAGTATTCAAACTACATTAATTGACTGTTTGCGTTGATTAATAATAATTGCTCCAAATACTAAAAAACTGAATTTTGTATGTGTATTAGACAGTATGGTAAAAAGTAACACCTTAAAAATGATATTTCATTTTTTGACAAATGCTTATTTATAGCAACAGAGACATTCATTTTCATATCTTATTATTATATTGATTTCTGATTCAAATCCACATTTATTTAGAATAATTTATTAACGAACGTAATTAAGTATGTAATTAATTAGTATTTGGGCGGAAATAATGGTGGTATATTTAATTAATGGTATACTCTTTTATAAAGATTTAAATAGTTTTCTTTCTGCATCCAAATGGGCTAGTAATATTATCATTTTGCTAAAAAACGATAATATCACTAGCCTGTACATTTTGTACATTTGTTGCTTTAAAAACTAAAAGTCAATATTCCAAGTTCCATGGGTATATTGATAAATGAGGTCTAAATTATAAGAAAATGCATTTTCTACGAAAACTTGATGGGATAGGTAAAAAGTGGTATAATACAATTTGATAGACAATTAAATTGTGCATCTGATTCTCCGAAAATATACAGGGCGTTCCATTTAAATTAAACAAGTTATTGCCGTTTAAAGCTAGAAATAATTTAAAATAAATTTTTAGACACTCTGTATGAGGTAGTATTATTTTTATTATTGCAACACAATAACTGATGAATAAATAAACTTCAGTAAATATTTAGTATTAAAAACTTTGATACCCTTGGAGAAATGAAGCCTTAAAATTTTGACTGCAATTTCACAAAATTGAAAATATTCCAAAGACGTCAAGGTTTAAGTGTAATAAACCTTAATCAAATTTACCTTTATTTTAATCGTAGAAACTAAAAATTTAATAATATACAGGGCATGCCATTTAAAAAAATACAATTTTGATATTTTTTATTTATGTGGGACACTCTGTATCTTGTAAAAATATTTTTAAATTGTAGCTCTAATAGTTCTTCAACGAACCAAAAACTTGCAATTTGTAAAAATCTAATCATTTAGCTACGATACTCCGTGACGTATGTGGTGAACAACTCTGTAGAGACGAGAAATAGCGCTCGTCTCTATGTTGTTGTGCGACTCGAGTCGCCGAATTCCAACTTCCCAGTCCATACTGATCGGAGATCGGCTACGAGCGCTCGGAAATCGTCAAATGCCGCACGTGCGGTCGCGGCGTTTGACGATTTCTCATTCAATTTTTTTTTATATGTTTTAATATTTGTAAATAATAATATTTTCATGAAATGCCGCGACTGCACATGCATTTCCGAGCGCTCTTCAATGGGGCTTCGCCGATCTCCGATCGGTGTGTACCGAGAGCTGGAGTTCGGCGATGAGAACGAGCGCTCGTCTTTATGTTGTTGATGGACCCTTTCTATCAGAAAGGCGAAGTTCGATGACGAGCGCTCGGAAATCGCCGACCGTCGCATGTGCGATAGCGGCAAAACTGATACTATTATTTATAATTTTATATTATTAAAATTTCAAAATCTACAGTATGTCTCCGGATGCATATTTGTAAATGAAGTCCATGATCGCGATTCGATTCCAGGCCGAACGGTACCGCGTAAATAGCATACGATATCGCAAATCGGTCTAGTAAATAGCATACGTGATTCCAAATTTTAACTGCTTTTAACCTCTTATAAACATCAGACGATATCGCAAAATTTGCTAATGGGTTGCTTGTAATCAGCATTCAGGATCGCAAATTTTGTTTAACACAAACTAAACCAGCAAAAATAAAAAACGGGATGTTTTCAAGCCGCCAACCTTTCCAATAGCAACCACGCATTTTACTTTGGTGATCGTACGACTTTGGTACGCTAACTTTGGTGATCGTACGAAAAAAAAACGTGAACGTGCTGATAATTCAAAAAAGTTCGATTATTATAGAAGATTATAAAGTAAAACCTAAAATCGTGCCGAGAAATCAACAGAACATAGATTCACAAATGACACTATTTTATTTTCAACCAACTTACATACGTATGTAAACAGGGCCGTATCAAGACCAAAATTTCGGGGTGGGGGGTTCAAAAGCTGCTAGGAAAAAAGCATAATAAAAAAATCGCTTTGGGCTACACTCCAATCTTAATTGAAAATAAAATTTTAAAAAAGTAACAGGTAAAAATTATTAATCTTAAAGGATAAACTGCACGTTTCTGGTCTTTTCCCTGGAAAAACGATTGACTACCTCTTTAATATCAATATTTATTTCTCTATGTAGGCTTAATAGAGCAAGTCTTGTCAATCGCTCCTGACCTGTAGAGTTACGTACGAAGTCCTTCAATCGTCTTAGGGTTGAAAAATACTTTTCTGGTGTAGCTGTTGACACTGGTAGAGTTGCTAGGATCTTCAATAAAATGTATATATTGGGAAATATACACTGGTTACACTCCGATATCGTTTCGATGGCGTTTTAGGTCGGTCGACTGCAGGTAGCTGCTTCCATTTTTGCCGCCACAAATCTAGTTCTGCCGCTAAAGTGTCAGTCCAAGAATTCTTTGTATAGGGAAAGGTCTTCTAGTTCCACACTTTGTGTACAACACATACATTTGATAATAAGAAATGTAGAGAGGAAAATTATTTTTTGTGCTTCGCAAATCGTTCAGTCAACTGATGTATGAAATCGTCCAAAAAAGGAATTGCAACTGTAATTCGAAAATATTCCTCTGTGCTCGCTACCATGATATTAGAACGATTTTTCTGATGTGCATCTATGGATTTTAATAGTTTTTCGGCTTTTTCAAAAAGGTTGGTGAACACTTGATCTATGTTATCTCTCATATTTTTAAGTTGACTTAAAACAGTATCAACATGTTCCGTTGCTGAAAAGAGATCGATGTTAACTGTCTGAAGAATTCTGCATAAAGGTAGGGTATACGTGAATAAAGTAGTTGCGGTTGACATGCTGATAATAAAGTCACTGGTCATAATGGCATGATGTAACTGTGTAGCTTTTGAGGACGTCTCTATATCTTTCACTATTTGTAGTTCTTCCAGTGTTTCAACAATAGGCTTGAAAATTTCTGTGAACCTAATTAGTCCGTCGTGATTTTCCTTCCACCCATCGAGTTTCACACATGGTTGTCAACTTCTTCCATTTAGTATCAGGAATATGTTATTTAATTTTATTTTGTAGAATATCAGTCCGCTTTGCTGACATTTTTATGAAGATTGCAACGGATTTGATGGTTCCAATACAATTTCTGACACTTTGGACATTGCAGCAGTGAGCCAGGTATGCTTTTAAAGGTACCGCTCATGGCTGCAGCCCCATCATAACCTTGCCCAACCAAATAAGTACCATCTATCTTGAGTTCTTTTAAACACTCTAAGATCCACACCGAACACAGCTTGTGCAGTTGCAGAGGAAGATGGAAGCAAAATCGTCAGTCGTAGCTCAATTTGGATAAATTTAGGAAATCTGAGTTGGGCGACAGGAAAACAAAATGCGATGCCATTCGTCCTAATTTAATCTGCCACTCTCTTTTTACTATCTTTTTAGACTCCAACCCCCCCCCCCAGATGCGGCCCTGTTTGTAAATTACTTAAAACAAAATAGAGATATAATATATTTTCCATAGAACTTAAAGTAAATTTGTAACGTTTTTAGTTCGTTACATGTCTTTCATATATAATATATGATGTCTGGCGTATCATCACCGGAGTCCGTATCGCTCAGGCCTGATAATTTACTTGACGCGCATGGCGTAATTTTTACGTTCTCTAGTCAGCAACTCTGTTATCGTTTCACTGCTTCTGTGGAGGCGCGCGCTGTCAACACCGCTTCAAGGTTCTCTCTCTGCGCTGTGGACTCACTTTTGCTTTTGCCTCTCTGCGGTCATCTTCAGAGCCCTGCTTAGAGAAATTGCAATTATTTAAATCTTGCTGTATAATTTGAATCAGCTGCTATTTCGAAGCTACAGGTAAAGATGATATATTATCTTTATTAGATTCGTTATTATTATTGAATATTTTTAGGGTAGAGTTTTGGATGTCCCAACTTAACTTGTATTTGTATGGCACGTTGGCGTTCCTTTTCTTTTGTCCTCCAGAATGTTACATGGAAGAAAGGACAGTTTCTTTGTTTATTATTGAGCCCTCGGAAGTAATTCGAGGTAGGTTTATTGTGTTTATTACACCTTGGTAGGTTTTAAACACGAGTTTCGTATTTTTAGGGTCCTATGGTTGGATGCCCTATGTACGGATGTCCTGTGGACGAGTCTCCCATGTAGGGATGGTTTATCTTATATATAGAGTGCCCAAGCGTGGATGTAGCTTGAGCCCCATGCTGCTTTTTTCCCATTTCTAAGCCTAGTCAATAGTTACGGCTGTATTGATTCATAGTGTCCTCATTCTGGCCCCTTTTGGGATAGCCGAGAGACAGTACAGAGATGCGAGCCCACCTCACGCTGTTACTGTTTGAAGCATGATTGCATAAAGAACAGCTAATTGTAGATTTAAGTTTTAGTTTTCAGTCGATTTTCAGTCTTAACATAATAACGTACATTTTAAATAATATCGTACAGACTATGTTTAGTGGTTAGATCGTTAAGAACATTTATGTCGATTTAGTAGTTACAATATGATTTAGATCTTAGGTTTCATTACATTACGTCTTGTATTACTTTCTATAGATATTATTATTGCGCTATTTTAACAGATGAATAACCAAACATAGATTCTAGAATCTACGGGTTGCAACATCTTCGATTTAACATCATATAAAATATATCAAATTAATTAAAGTAATGCTACCTTTTATACATTTTCTATAACTTTACATGTATGGTATTTTTATAGTCTTTTCATTGAAGATATTTAATATTATTTCTAACATAGCTTTTACTCGACATATAACCACTATAATAATTATTAAAATTGTACAATGCTATTTACCTTCAGAATACATCATGAATGAATATAGTCACTAGTTTTAAGTAATAAACAACTGTGTTTTCTTTTTCTGTTCATGCCTGGCGCCCAATATTTGTATTTTTGATTTATTATTGTTAGTTAGTTTCTTTCCAGTGAAATACCTTATCCACGACTGCTCTACCAACGAAAAGCTGCCGTTCGCAGTGGTAATGTTTAAAAAAAATGCTATAAATTTCTAATACTAATATAGGTTAAGATAGGAAGCAATGCTTCAACTTCGCCTTTTGTAATACTTATGGATTACAATAAAGACAATAAAGAGATATTTATTATTATTATTATTATTATTACCTAACTGTTCTTAAAAAAGATTTGTCCTGGTAACTATAAAGAAATAATATTAAGAAGGAACTAAGTTACAATCTTCTTGTACTAGAAAAAGTCAAATTTTACCTGCAAAGAAACTACACAAAGTGTAATTTTTGAAGTAAAGTTGGTCATTCTCTAACTTTTTTATTCATTTTAGCATTCATTTTTTGGTTTCGATTGATAATCTGATTTTTTTTTAAATTTGTTTTGAGTAATTACTCTGGTTAGTTTCTGCAATTACCTCAATTTCTTCCTTTTTAACGAAAGGTGTTCTAATAATTTCTTTATTTACTAACTTATATACTCGTGGTTGGCAAATTAATTTTTTGCAAAATAATATTTAGTACTACATATCAGTGGCGCATCCAGAGAGTGAGTCTGGGAGGGGTAGTGGCAATATTTAAATAAATTAATAGTTTTAAATTAAATTTTCGCTCAAAGGTATTGTGACTATGAAAAGCAATAAACTTAGATTGTTCTGTATTTCTATTTTGATTGATATTATTAATTTATTTTGTGATAATTTTAATTTATAACAGATTTTGTTAATTATAAATTTCTTCCTGGGAGGGGTAATTAGCCCCATAACCCCTCCCGTATATGCGCCCCTGCTACGTATATTCTTTCGTAGACATCTTGCACTAAGGAATTTTGCGATCCTGAATGCTGATTACGAGCAACCAATCAACAAATTTCGCGATATTGTTTGCTGTTTATAAGAGTTAAGGCATTTTAAATTTGGAATAACGGATGCTATTTGCAAGACGGATTTGCGATATCGTATGATGTTTACGCGGCATCGTTCGGCCTAGAACCGAATCGCGATCATGGAAGTTGTTTACAAATATGCTCCCCGGATTGTCTTAACAAGAGAGAAAACTTTTTTACTATTGACATTTTGAGAAAAATGCATTCTTCACATAAATTTTTGCTTGTTCTAAAATGGTTAATCCCGTTTATGCTTTTCCAAATGTTCACACCGTTTTAGAGAAAATTGGAAAAAAACGTGGAAATATTGTCGAATTTTTCTAAGTACAAAAAATCAAAACGTGTTTCTATGGTAATATAATTTCGTTTCCATTATTTGGGAGATTGTTATTGATACAATTTTAATTTACGTCATATTTTTTGCTGTTTTTAAATGTTAAAGAAGCACAACATTATTTAGTTCAATGCTACGGAAATGGTGATAATATTTATCGGAAAATGTGATATTTTAAGAACACCAGAAAATATAGCGTTAATCAAAATTAATAATAACCATACCGGGTGGCGCATTGTCGTTGGAAACATAGGAAATCCTATGCAAATTTTAAACTGTTTAAATATTGGCTCCCTTATTGATTTTATAGCGAAGTAAGAAATTTTTTAAAGGTCTACGTTTGGTAAACACACATGCCAAATTTGAATAATATTGGACAAGCCGATTTTGAGTAATTTGAGAAAAACTGCATCTATTTTTAAATTAAAACTGAACATGTAACAATCAAACATCAAAAATCGACAAAATTGTCAACGTCATTTCCAAACGTAACTTAGGCTGTATTCCGTTGCAAAACCAGGCGAACCAGACCGGTAAACTACGGTAAAGAGCGGTTCCTGAAAAACATCGGTTTGATCATTGCCTGGGGCGCTATTCTGTAAAATCGTCGGTATCGGTAAGTTACAACAGCTCTCGATACGTATTTGTATATAGTAAAAATGTGTTAATTGTTGTTGTCATAGTTACCGATCGGTTCTATGGCAGATATCGCAAATTTGTACCGACGATAATCGGTATCTCTACCGTGCCCTTGTCAACCTCACTTTCTTTTCATAACTGGATGTGCTACAGGTTGACAACACTTTTTAACAAAATAAAAACATTAAATCACCACAATACACCAAAACACTTTTACTTTTACACTGGACGCGCGTTTCGCTAACTATGTTAGCATCATCAGCAGATGATTATAAACTTATTATAACATGGTTAGCGAAACGCGCGTCCAGTGTAAAAGTAAAAGTGTTTTGGTGTATTGTGGTGATTTAGTGTTTTTATTTTGCTGTGTAACACCAAAGGTTCCAACCCTCAACTGTAACACTTTTTAAGCTTTATCGAACACTTTATCATTTAAATGACTCTTATATAATTTTAATGGTAAAATGTCTACTTCACTACCTGTATCTATCTTAAATCTCACAATGTTACCTTTAATGTCCACTTTATATAGTGCTTTACAGTTTTGTGTGTTAATATAATTTACAAAAAAATTATCAACATTTACATTGTCATCACACTTTTCTTTTGATACCTCCTTAATCTCTTTCTTGACAGGTTTCCTGGTACATGCCTTTGCAAAATGATTGCATTTTGCATTGATGATATGCCTTGCACTGTTTTGGTCCATGCTTCGAGAGATATTTCCTACAATCAAACTTATTACCTTCATTTTTCTTCAGCTTATTTTCTTTTTCGAATCCTCTTCTCTCTTCTTTTCTAACTCCATATACTTGCTTTTGATCTTTCTGCACTTCATCAATTTGAAGCTTTGATATTTTAGCAACTCGACATTCGTTTATTGCTTTTTCTAAATTTAAGTCTTCACGAGTCAACAATCTTTCTTGTAGTCTCAAATTTGTGATTCCCAAGACAATCCTGTCTCTTATTAGCGAGTCTTTTTGCTCATTGAACTCGCAGCTTTCCGCAAGTTTCTTCAGATCTGTCACAAATTTGTTGAACCCTTCTCCCTCTTCTTGTTTACGTGAGAAAAACATATATCTTTCATATATAACGTTTTTTTTCGGATTACAATATTTCCCAAACTCGTCTATGATATTCTTGTATTGTTTATTTTCAGCTTCATTAAGTGAAAACGTATTGTAGACATTTATCGCCTCTTGACCCATGCAATTTAACAACAAAGCTACTTTTACTTCATCTTGTACTTCTTGTTTCCCTTTAGCCAGTAAGAAAATTTCAAAATTTTGTTTAAATAACTTGAAATTTTCGCTTATATTTCCCGTAAACTTCATCTGCTCCGGCAGCCTCACGTCCATTTTGATTCTTTTTTCAACGTGATTACCACAGTGACTACCAACTTCCCGAAATATTCTTACAATCCTTGACTTTTTTGGCTTATTTTCTCGCTGGCTTTTATCTTTCCGCTGCCACCATGTTTTATTTCTCTGTATTTTTACTAATAAAATACAATGTTTATTAAACTAAGTTTATTAAATTATTAAACATCTGAGATCATTACAAAACACCATTCTGTCAAGTAAAGTCTAACTTAACTGTCAATCAGGGTTATGTCATATCAAGATGCTACAGATTAAACTTAACATATAATAATCCATAGATACAACATAAGGTATGCCGGTTTTTGACTGGTGTTTGATTGTTACCTGTTCGGTTTTAATATAAAAATAGATGCAATCTTTTTCCAACGACGATCTTTCGTTTCCAACAACGATGCACCACCCGGTATATCAATGAATGAAATCGAAAATATATTACCATATAAACGCCGTTTAATTTTTAAGACAGAAAAAAATCAACCATATTTTCACTTTTTTTCAATTTGCTCTAAAACGGTATGGAAATTTGTCTTGAAAAATATAAACGGGAATATATTTTAGAACAAGCAAAATTTTTTGAGAAGAATGCATTTTTCTCAAAATGTCAATAATAAAAAAGTGTTTACTCTTGTAAAGACAATCCGGGGACATACTGTATAATATAAAATCAATCCATATTCTTATGCGGAAGTTAATTATTATATAATTTTTTCAATTATAATTTTTATATTAAGGTATTTCACTTGCCGTTTGTAAAGCTGGAGCTGCAAAAAGAGGTCTTCCACTTTATCGACACATTGCCGATTTGGCTGGTAATAAGACCTTGATACTGCCTGTACCTGCTTTTAATGTGATTAATGGTGGTTCGCATGCAGGAAATAAATTAGCTATGCAGGTAATATTACATAGGAGATAGATTTCGATAGAATTGTTCGAATTTAATATTATTTTTATGGGTGCATTATATAACCAACTCTCCAAATAGTTAGCAAGTAGTAGCTTACAATTTACAGGATTTTGACATACATTTTTATATCAAATTTTACGCTTGGTTCTTCTTTTTAATGGACTTTAATATTAAAAAGTACTTTATTAATGAACTGTTAAACTCGTCAGGCAGCTCAAGTGATGAAGATTTGCAGGCCCGTGACCATATTAACTGGTTCATATTAAAATGAATTAATAATACGTAAATCTGATCAGTAATAATAATAATAGCTGCCGTATATAGCGTTTAACGCCTTGAGAGTAGCAAGGTACAGCTTGCCATACAAGAGCCGTCGGGTATACAAGGAAGGTAATGTGGCTAGCATTACGCTTCAACCACCTTCATTACCTCAGGATTGTGAATCCCAAGTACACATTTTAAGGCTGACTCGACCTAGGTACCCAAACTATTTTTATTTTAATAAAAATAGTCGGCTGATGAAATGCCGGGTGTGGGATTCGAACCCACTACCTTGAGATTAGTAGACGAGAGCCTGTACCTGTACGCCACAGGGCACCTAGCACAAATCTAATCAATATTATTTATATTTTCATAGTTTACAAAATATTCATGATTACTTTTTGTCTCGTTTCTCATGATTTCGTTCAATGTTCCTAACTTTAAGAGACAATGTCCACATGATAAGTTTATGGTTCTAAAAAGTCACTCTATTTGGGTAATGAAATTTCTTTACCTTCACTACCTATCTCCATGTACCTGTGTAAGAGTATGTCACCGAAAAACACAATCCGCCCACTCATTTCATTGGATTGCTTGCAAATTTGTCGAACTTTTATTGATGGGACGCGGTAGTCTAATTTTTTACGAGAAACGTCGATTAAACGATACCAGATCCAGCTGGGTGAACAGTGCAGTCAGTAAAATAGTTGCAAGATTTTATTGATTTTTTATTGTTTTTCTTCTTAATTTTTATAAAGATTATGTCTCATTTACGTGGAAAAACATTGAAAAAATAAAACTGATTGGGTATTTTTTAAATTTTTGTATAAGTAAGTAATTTCTGGGTATGCTAAAAGCTGATTTCCACATTGCCGTGACCGTCCCGTACAGTGACAGTGCCGTACAGTGACCGTACGTACAGTGACAGTGCAGAGTATTTACACTTGCCGGTTTTTTCCGTGCCTATGCCGCCAAACAGTTTTTATTTTGACGCGTGTGGTATCAGGTTTTATTAGTAGTGTTTTCATTATGAATTTTTCTCTAGAAGAATTGGCCATTATGGCTATTTTATTGGATGAAGAAGAAACCAAGAAAAAAAAACGTATTTGGGTTCATAAAGCGTGGAGAAAACGTGACACTGAAGGGGAATATGCTACTTTATTTAAGGAGCTGCTGGACAATGAAGTAAAATTCCATCAATACTTTCGAATGACTCACAACACTTTCAATATTTTGTTGGCAACGATTCAATATGAGATTCAAAAGCAAGATACTTTTGGAGAAAATCTATTGAACCCCAAGTTCGTTTGGCCGTATTTTTAAGGTATGTAAAAAAAGAAACTAATCGCAGTATCATAGCAGGCTTGTCCTTGGCAATAGGACACAAATAAACGCTAATTTTAAATTTTGTTTTAAATCTATTAAACAAAAAAAATCACAAAATAATACTTGTCCCTGTCGAATCATTCTGTTCTATATTCTTCTGGATCTCCACGAAGAAATGTACTAAAAGCATGGACAGTTGAAGATAAATTCGTTACTTCCTCATTTACAGGCCACCTTGTAACAGATGGTGTTGAATAATTTATTCCCAATGAAGTTTCCCCAGAAATAGGTGATAATGTAGATGTTAGTCCTTCCTCCATAGACAGAGCTTGGGGTCTTGACATTCATTGACTCATTATATAATCTAACTGAACTTTTTGTTTAGCTGAAAAAAAGCTGATTTCGTATTTGTACTTATAACTTAAACTTTTGATACTTTTGTATTTTTTTTTAACTTTTGCTACCTGCTACTTTTTTGATGTAGAATAATTTGCGGTTTTGTCAGCGAATGTAGGTGTTTTAAAGGGGTCGTTCCTAAAAAATCGTCTGTGTTCGCAAAAGTCTAGGTATCGCTTTCGTCTGGAATAGTTTGGGTATCATTTTCACTCACATTACTATAAGTCGCTCTCTCTTCCATATATGGAAGTAAAAACCCAAGTTGATCTTCATATTTGTACTTTTTAGTTTTAACAGCTGCTTGACAACTTTTCGTCATACGTCTTTTTTTCGATTTCCTATAATTGTCCCTAATGTTGCTCCATCTCGCTTTACAAACTGCACCTAAAACAAAAAAGTTAAATTTTAGCATAACGCCGTTTATATATTAGTTTCTTCGTTTATATATTAGTTTATATATTAGTTTCTTTTTTATATATTATATCTTTTAGTTTTCGACTTGGACATGCCACATTATATAAGAGTGTTATAGAGACTTGCAAGGTTATTGTAAAATGTTTAATGCAGGAGGTAATGCCACAGCCTTCAAATGAACAATGGATAACATATGCATCTGAATTTAAGGACATATGGAATTTTTCAAACTGTTTGGCCGCCATAGATGGCAAGCACATCACGATACAGTGTGCACGAAGAAGCGGCTCACTTTGTTTTAACTATTAAAAAAACATTTTCTGTTGTCCTTTTGGCTCTTGTCGACGCCTATTACAATTTTATAGCTGTTGATGTAGGATCCTATGGCAAAAATAGTTGCGGCGGAATTTTTTCTCACTCAAACATTGAAAAAGCACTGAAAAATTCAACTTTTAATATTCCACCACCCACAGTCATACGAGGAAGTAACATTGAAATGCCATATGTCATCGTAGGTGACGATGCTTTTCCCTTAAAGCCATATTTAATGCAACGATACCCATCAAAACAACTAACTCATAGCAGTCGTATTTTTAATTACCGTTTATCACATGCAAGAAGAGTGGTTGAGAATGGTTTTGGAATATTAGTACAACGATTCATAATATTTCTTAGAGTGATCCAGTTACAGCCACAAAACGTTGATTTTGTTATTTTTGCTGCTTGCACTTTACATAACTTGATAAAAAAGTATGAAAATATGTCTGTGGACCAAACATTTATATCAGAAGAACCAAAAAGGCCCAATTTAAGCAATATACCTATGCAGGGAGGAAAATCGCCACAGGAAGCATTTCGGGTTAGGGAATTATTTAAAGAATATTTTAATTCTCCTGCAGGTTCCATTCCTTGGCAAAATGAAATAGTTTAATTTAATTGCGTGTATGGATATGTAAAGTTTGTACTAGTAACACGGTAAAAAACAAATAAAAATGTTACCTGATTGTTTAAGTTGTTCTCCTATATTTTTCCATATTTTCTCTTTAAACTGTGTATTTATGAATTTTGCATGTTTTAAATCATAGAGGACACTGTTTTCTTCCACCAAAACAATAAGTTTTTCATCTTCCATCTCGAATACTGTCAACGTGAAATCCAAAAAAATTAAAATTCCACGATAAAAATAAATACGGCACGCTTCCGCCTGCTACGATACTGACACTGCAGGTCACTGCGGTCACACATTATAAAATACATCGTTCAATTAAAAATCACTGACACTGCACGTACGGTACTGACACTGTGCACAGGACGATCACGGCAATGTGGAAATCAGACTTAACAGAGTATTTCGTTTTGCCTCTTACGGATGCCCCGTAGCTACAGAACGGATAGACGTATTGTAATTATTTTAAATACAATTTTTTTTAATTTGCTGCATAAAAGTCAATGAAATTTCACTAAATAGGTTAATAAAATTTATTTACCTTCAGTACCTACCTCCATTTTCTTTTAGGTATAAATACAAAATAATAACACAAATTTTATAAATTAAATGAGAATTTCATTCAAACTTCCAATTTTTGCTTTATTTCTGATACATAAATGACACTGACAATAGCTGCCGCGATTAATCCAATCATTCGGCAAATTGGTCTAAAAGCTTGAAATTTGGTACACACGTATTTTAGATGATTCTAAGATTTTTGACCTGGAGGGCAAGGCCATTTTTTGTGTTTAACTCAAAATGGCGCCTTATTTTCAAAATGGCCGATTAACAATTTGTAATTGTTAGTTATTAACCGATTTTAGTATAATATATGTCGATTTCGACAATTTTTCTGTCGAGCAATTCATTAAAACAACTCTTTTTTAAGTGCAATGTTAATTTATATGATAAATTTGTATACAGTGTGGTTAAAAGCGTATACGTATACGTTGAATATAGAAATTTCGATTCCCATGAGCTTATTCCAGTAAATCTTCTTTATATGCACTAAAAAGAATAAATTACACTTATTTATACATGTATCCTTACACTTGCACTGTAATGTGCAAGTCAGTCCTGCTGCTCGCTGGCATGAGCAACGTTGCGAATCACAACCTGAATTATATCCGCACCTATCTAGCTCCCTGCAAGTTGTCCATATAGGTGAACTGTCCATATATATGTCCATATACTTGACCAAAGTAGCTCCCATGCTTCATTGTGCTGCCCCCAACCCCCAGAAGTTGGGGTCGGTGGGTCACACTGTAACATATCCAATGATCTGCCCCAAATTTGGCCAGCTTGATATGCAGCAAGAAGGCAGTGTTGTAACAGTGCTGCGGAGCTACGAGGAATTAAGTCTAGCGGCTTATTTTCAGTGCAGAACAGGTGCTTTCGAAGCTGATCAACTTTGGAGATTCCTGTAGTTGCAGCATACATCTTTGATGTAAAGTCTTCAAGAAGTGCTTGAATATGACTTGGAATGTGGTCATTCGGAAAAGACATAAAAGTAAATGCATCTGTTGCTGACTCACATGACATCCATGTTTTCCATCTTTTTTTCCTTTTCCGGCAAAGAAGGAGACACTGTCACAACCGGCGAAGGCATGAAAGCTTCGGAGGCCCATACACCTTTCTCTTCTTAGTTGGATAGTGATTTTGTAAGCTGCAATGTAACGTCGATTCTTTCCCGACCCAAATAAAATTCATAATTCTTCTAAACCCATAGCCTGGAGCTCATAAAAAAAGACACGCACAAAACAACAACATCAGTGTCAACAGTTTGAACCAAAATATTTTTGGCTCCAAGTCTGACCATGTCCGAAACATGCAACAAAATGTGTCCATCTGCCTCTTCCCATTTTAAACACGATTTTCCGTCTAATGCAGACTCGCAATTATTTGTGGCTAAAATGTCACCAACATTCGTGGCAATTGGGGAAACACCAGTACACCTCATCACTGAGTGCGCCGAGACGACAACCATTCGTGCCATGAATTTTGGTACGACTGATATTGGAGATGGAGAACTACCCTCTATAAAACCGTCCCAGATACTGGCTTTTGTCAAAGCCCTGGGACTGTATGATGAGTTATGATTCAAGAAAGGGGGACACAATGGATATGTAAGGTCGAAGTGATTAACCCCCCTCCCACTCATTCTGAATTCTAAAAAAAAAAATTCTAAGGATACATGTATTAATAAGTGGTAAATAGTCTAACATAAATATTCTAATGACTTATTAACTAATTTATTCTTTTTAGTGCATATGAAGAAGATTTACTGGAATAAGCTCATGGGAATCGAAATTTCTATATTGCGTATTTTTTTTTTCTATAGCTTATACGTATACGCTTTTAATCACCTTGTATACAAATTTATCATATAAATTAACATTGCACTCAAAAAAGAGTTGTTTTAATGAATTGCACGTCAGAAAAATTGTCGAAATCGACATATATTATGCTAAAATCTGTTAATAACCAACAATTACAAATTGTTAATCGGCCATTTTGAAAATAAGGCGCCATTTTGAGTCAAACTCAAAAAATGGCTTTGCCCTCCGGGTCAAAAATCTCAGAATCACATAAAATACGTGTGTACCAAATTTCATGCTTTTGGACCAATTTGCCGAATGACTGGATTAACCGCGACAGCTATATTGCATTTTGACAGGCAAGCCGAGTAGAGAGAGAGAGAAAGAAACAGAGAGAGGGAGCCAGTTAATCATATCAGTTAATATAAAGCGATTTTAAAAAAATACCTGCATGACAAAAAATCTAAAAGTTGAAATATTTTTTGTTTCGACATTATTAAGTCATTTTTGACTATCCTGTATATAGACTTTTTCACTAAACTTGCATCAGCATAAAAAAATTATATTTTTATAGTTTTTCTTCGGCTCCAGATTAGTCAAAAACGACCTATAGATCGTATAAAACACATTTACTAGATTATAAACCGCCATTTTGAAAAATAGCCGCCATTTTGACTTATAATCAAAAATTTGGCTTGCCCTCCGGGTCAAATCCCTTAGAATGCCCTTAAAAATGTCCCTGCAAAATTTGGTGCTTTTAGACTAATTTGCCGAATACTGCTCTTTTTTGGGATTAACCGCGGCAGCTACAAACAAAACCAGAAAACAGCCTCCCGCGCTGGTTAATTTGGTGACAATTATGATAGATATTTTTCGGGAACCATTTTCCGTAATAATAAAACTTTCAGGAAACCGATAGAAACGGAACATAAAACAGCCTTAAAAGTAAACATTTTTAGTAAATAATATGGAGGCTAAAGCAGTTGAAATTTTATTAATTTAATTTTCTTTGTACACTTTTAGGAGTTTATGATTCTACCAACTGGAGCAACTACGTTTAAAGAAGCTATGAAAATGGGCAGCGAGACATATCACACTTTAAAAAAGATCATTAAGGATAAATATGGCTTGGACGCTACCGCTGTTGGTGATGAAGGTGGCTTTGCTCCGAATATCACTAATAACAAAGATGCTTTGGGAATTATTAATGACGCTATTGGCAAAGCGGGTTATACTGGACGCATCGATATTGGTATGGATATTGCGGCTTCGGAGTTTTATAAAGATGGTAAGTTTAGAAAGGTGTACGCCAGGGATGAGGCATCTTGTCCCCCCCCCCCTTTTCAATATACAGGGTGAGTTTCCTACTGGAGATAGAGAGTCGGTTAAATGGGGAAAGAATTGCAGTTTTGTGTGGTCATAAGCGTCTTTCAGATTTTTGAAAAAGTTCATGGGTTACTAGATATTTTGAAAAAAACAAATTTCGGCTATTTTAAAAATTGTCCCTAATTCCATTATAATCTATTTCAGACAAAAAGTTTTCAGATAAAAGTTGTAGGTAATCACATCCTTAATGAGATTGTGTCCTCCGTTTTTTTTTCTAAAGCCTGTCATTTTTGACATATGACACAAACATATGTTTTTTTAAATGGAAACCATAGTTGGCCATGACTTCATAAAAGCGCCATTTTTTAAACTTTTTAGCGATATAAGCTATGATATGTTCCTTTCGAAAAATTACTGAGTTATAGCCAATTCATATAATTTTTAAACAATTTCACTTAGCCATGGAAACAGTTCAATCGTTGTTGCTCTCAGAAATGTGAAACTGTCACATCCAAATTTTATAAATTAAAATAAACACTGCGGGAAGTTCGTGTGCCCAGCGCTATAGACAAAGATCCACCATTAAAGTTCAGCCTACAGCTTGAAATCGAAGAAAACTGGGAATAACAAGAGGAAGTAAAAAAAGGCCTGTCGGCCGTCCAGCAACTGGGGAACCTGCCAAGAAAAGACGAAAGAAAAAAACATGATCTTTCACTAAATATTAAAATAAATAAACCCAATGCAATTAAACATGGTTCGGCCCACTAATTTTGTATAGAGTTTTTTTGTTTTGGTATTATTATTATGTTATATTGTAACTTAGGTTAATACACCAGATGTTTCTAATGTGTTTAATAATTATTATTACATTTGACATTCCGTAAAAAAGGACACCATACTAGCACTTAATTTGTAATAAAGTTTAGTGCAGTTTTCCTCTTTGTAAAATTTCTGCTGCAAGCATAATTACCAGGGACATTCCGTGGCACTGTCTTACATTCCATACTCGCGTATGGCATTCGGAGTTAATGGGTTTAAAATTCAAATCTGACCAATGGGATTGTGCTAGGTGCCATATACATGTACGGAATGTATAAATGCCTACCGTCACCGTAGGATTTAGATTTTTGGTGAGGTTGTCTCCTCAAAGTGCCAGCTAAAGTGCAGTCAAAGACCCAGTCAAAGTGCCAGTGGGAATTTCCCCTAGCACCTGACTAGGAGCTTCCCCCCAACGACAAAATCTCGTATCTCCTAGAGGAAGATTTGGGCTAGAGATCATGTATAATTTCCGTTGTGCTCCGTTAATTTATTTTAGTTGGAAAATGATGACCCAAAAATGATACAATTCGGACTTTCAATCCTTTCAACTTTGTATGTCTGGATGTATGAATTTTTGTTACTTTTTCACGCAAAAACTACTGAATTAATTTTAATGAAACCTTACAAAGGCTTTGTAAGTTCTTAGAAAAATACCATCTTTTATCTCCCCATCAAAATGGATTCAGGGCCAATTTCTCCACAGAAACGGCACGTAATAATGCTACAAAAAATATTATAAAAACTTAGAAGAACGAAAATTTGTTTGCGGTTTGTTTTTTGATATGACCCGTGCATTTGACTCGGTGAATCATGAACTTTTAATTCATAAATTAAACTGCATGGGTATTCGGGGTCCTTCTCTGAACTGGCTAAAATCGTATCTGTCTAGCAGAACTCAGTTAGTTGAGATAGACGGTACTAGATCTGAGATGTAAGAAATTAGCCAGGAACACCTGAAGGCTCTTATCTATCGCCAACGTTATTCAATGTATTTATGGTAAATCATTAGATTTACCACAAAAAATATCCACGTATGGTATACCAATCCTATACGCGGATAACTGTAACGTCATAATACAGGCAGATACCCATAGGGAGCTAACTGACAAATGTAAATGGACAGTCCAGCAAATGCTGAGCTGGTGTTACCATGACGGACTTAAACTAAATGCTTCCAAGTCTAATATAGTAGAGTTTGTTACAAAGACAACAGGTTACTCGACTATAGTTTGTTAGTGAAGGCCGAAAATCGGTCTCTTGAGAGTGTCCACTGCAGTAAATTCCTGGGCGTACATCTAGACCAGAAGCTAACATGGAGAGGTCATACCAACTCAGTAACTGCAAAGTTAAGTTCTGCTTCTTTTTTTGTTAAAAACTTGAAGCATACAGTTTCTCGCGAAACAATAAAACTGATTTATTATGGATTGGTACAATCTGTGTTGGCCTATGGTCTGGTGTACTGGGGACACTCCGGTGAGGTGGGTTCGGTTTTTGTGACCCAAAAGAAAATAGTAAGAATCATGACTGGGAGGGGTCAGAAAGACTCATGCAGGCCATGTTTTCAATCACTCATTATTATGACTTTATATTCTTTGTATTTATATTCAATTATTGTATTTACAATTAAGAATGAGGAAGAATTATCCCGACGGCGGGAAGTTCACAGTCACAACACCCGCTACAAAGATGAATTTGATATCCCATATACGCGCCTTACTATGGGGCAACACAACCCGATATTTGGGAGAAGGTGTTTAAATAAAATGAGAAGGGTGTCCGTAGAGTTTAACTCTCTAAACCTAAACAAAAAAAAGTTTAATTTAAAGAAATTGTTTATATCAAGGAGCTACTACACCCTAGACGAATTCTTCCGGAAGCCGGAAATTCCAGGCTTGTCAGCAAATATATAATAATATTTCTTCTTTAGAATTGTTTTTGTTTGTGTATAAAAACGGTATATATTTGTTTTATATTTGTATTTGTATGATTTTATGTCAAAAACTGTTGTTTTCTGTATATATTTTTCGACGATCCTATAATCTAAGTACCATATATTTATATTAAAAGGAATTAAGAAATTAAACTAAACTAAACAATAATATAGCTTATTAACCAAGCTAATGATTTATAAGGCAACGGTAAGGTCGCATTTGGATTACGGAAGTTGCCTGTTGAGCAGAGCCAATAAAAAAGATCTAAGGTTCTAAGAATAGCACTGGGAATGATGAGGTCAACCCCTATTATCATCCTTTTATCTGAAAGTGGAGAATTGCCGTTAGATCTGAGAAGACAGGCCCTGGGAACCAAGCAGGCTTTGAACGTTTTATCGTATGAAAATCCGATTGGAAACATGCTCATACAACTGTATGCAAGATATAATGAAGCTCTAAACAGTTGGAAGACAGCTCCTCCTCTTGTAGAAGCATTAGATTATGCTACTAAAATATTGGAACAAGTAAGAGTTCTTCCAAATCGTCCCTGTTATTTATTCACTCTGGAAGATCAGATTACACCTATTAAGGTCGAATATATGAATTTAAGAAAGGAGACTAACAATAAACAAAGTTTTATAAATCTTGCAAAGGAAAAATGGCCAAACAGTGTATTTATTTATACAGATGGCTTAAAAGATCAAGACGGGAAGGTTGGAGTGGGGGTATTCTCAGAAGTCAGCGAACTAAGACACTCAGGTCGAATGCCAAACTTTCATTCTATCTGTTCTGCAGAAGTTTATGCTATATACATTGCCCTACTTAAAATAGAACAATATGATATCGCCAAGGCAGTTATATTCTCTGATTCATCAAGTGCCCTAAAGAAGATAAGCAAAACTGGAATAGACGCTGAAACGGACAAACTAATACTGGTCACAAGAAGGAAATTAATAAACAAATGGGACGTACAATTAGCACGGATACCAAGTCATACCAATATTCATGGAAATGAGGAAGCAGACAAGTTGGCCAACGCTGGACGGCTCTTACCTCTCACACTAACACCCAAAGCAGATTATAAAACCTTTATACCAAAAATGAAAGAATTCATATATAATAAATGGAAAGAAAGATTTGTAGCGATTGGTAGAACGAAAGGGAAAGAATATTGCACTACAGTTCAGCAGCCATACAGGACTCCATAGTTCAAACAATATAAATCCTTGACAAAGCAACAAATAACCACCATGTGTCGATTCAGATCAAACCATTGTTATCCCCGTCACATCTCTATAAAATCAGAATTAATAGAGATAATTTGTGTCAGTGTGGAGAGGTTGCTGATGTCTTTCATTTGATAATTGCTTGTCCACATAATTATAATCACCAAAAAATCTTCTATTCCTATTTCGACAATGAGATAGAGCAAAAACCGATTTCCCTGCATGACATCCTTTTCAAATTCAACAAGACAGAACACATAAAATAAATCGCTTTGTTTTTGAATGTTAGTAATTTAAAACTCTAAATATTTACTAATAACAAGCCTAACATTAACTTTATAATCAAGAAAAAAAACTAGCCGCAAATTTGAAATGTCATAATCACATTTTCTTGAAATGCACAGTAATCATTGGGACTTAGAGCTGGTTAGTACTCGTAGAATGCATGCATAACTGAATAGTTGCAGAGCTTAAAGCAACCTGTTTAATAGCCTTAATAATTGTTAGCCGTTAAGAAAGATACATCGGTGAAAGTTCATAAAACATGACCACCCCCAAAAAAAAAGAAAAAAGAAAAGCAGAAAAGTACTTTGCCAGAATGGTCCTGGCAGCCTAGGCAACGCAACTCTCTCCTGAAAAGGAGAGTTTGAGAAGAAAGAAGAAGAATATAGCTTATACATCAGTAGTTCATCAGTAGCTTATACATACATCGTAGTTCGTAATTCGGTACTTCAATACTTCGGGACTTAGTTTTAGCACCTGACTAGGAGCAATTACTAACTTTAGTTTGGTAGTTGGGTACTTCAGTAGTTAACGTATACCTTAGCCACAGCAACGGGCATGTACCTATAACAATAAAAAAAATTATAAGTGTAAAAGTAAGTAAATGTGTAAAAAATAAGTAAAAGTTGTCTCTAGATATTTTGTGGATTTCGGTCGCCTTGAGATAACCGCAGTTTTATTAATTTGCTTTAATCCAAGTATAATAGCAACCTTTAAAAAATTATGTCATGAACTGGTCCAAAATGTTAAATAACTACTCACGCAATAAGATAACAATAACTTAAATAAGCAATAACTTCCTCGTCAAAAATTATGGCAAAAAGTTGCTATAGACATGGGTGTGAAAATTAATAGTTTTAAAGTTACTGGATGTTAAAATTTAAAAAAATAGGTCTTTTGTAATTATCTTAAATACCATTTTTTTGAATTTGCTGTAGGTAGTATTGAACATCAGTGTTATAAATTTTGATTAAATTTAATAATAAACTACATTAAATAAATAATTTATTAATTTTGATTAATAAAATTGCGTTTATCTCATCAAGGAGATCGAAATCGACAATATATCCAGATGCAACTTTTAATCGTCATCAAACGGCCTAATACAATTTTGCTAGCAAGAAAAAAAGGTCAGTAGCGCACATGTTTTTTTAGAAAAAATATTCCAGTGATAATCTATTTAAAAAATATGTAGCATTAAAATATGGAGCACTTTTACCTTTAAAATTTCATTCGAATCGCTAAAAACACTTGGAAGGAAATTATAATAAATAAAAAAAAATGAAATTAAACCCCGAAGCTACGAAACAAAGCAGAAACGGACCTATGTTGATATAAAAAATAATCTTTATTTTTACGTGAGGAATATCTCTACGAGAGATGTCCCATGTTTTTTAGTGCACCTTGTATTTAATTTATTCTTGTATTTGATTATCTCGTATCATCAACGAATTGATTTTTAAGCTGTCTTTCAAGAGAATATGTTTCCTAAATTTGGAGTAATTTTTAGGACTTTACGATTTGGATTTTAAAAATCCAAAAAGCGACAAAACTAAATGGATAAAAGGCGATAAGTTAATGGCAATGTATCAAGATTTCATAAAAAATTATCCGGTGGTATCTATTGAGGACCCATTTGATCAGGACGACTGGGGTGCATGGACAACAATGACAAATTGTACCGATATACAAATTGTTGCAGATGATCTAACAGGTAAAGTTGTGATATCTAATTGAATAAAAAAATTATAATAACTACACTCACCGGCACGAAAAACGGGCATCTTAAAATATTGATGTACAGGGTGGGCCAAATTGGATACTTTTAAAGGGAAAACACTCTTTAAAAGTATCAAATTATTCAATATAATAAAATTTTTATAATCAATACATAAATAATTACTTTCTCTTTAGTTTAAAATTAAGTTTATTTAAAAAAAATATTTGACCGAATTAGACGAAATTATAGGAAAATTAGATAGTTTATGCTGTATAAATTAGATAGTTTATACTGTACAACAATCAAACAAAATCGCTTCTTCTTCTATACCATCTAAAAAAATGACTGAATCAAAGCTTAACTGGGAATTATTTAAATCCAAAATGGATAATATTAAACCGTACGATGGAGACAGTAGTACTCTCAATAAATTTATCAACAGATGTGAAAGTATTTTTAATAGTTACAAAAATTTAAATGATGCCGAACTTAATCAACATATTCTTGAATCAATTCAAGAAAAATTGATTGACAAGGTAGAGATTATGGTCGGTAATCGAGCCGAATTAACCGATTGGAATAGTCTTAAGACCGCTTTGATTCAATCATTCTCAGATCGAAGAGATCTGGACTGTTTAATACAAGAGTTAACCCGAACTCACCCTGATAAGCACGAAAATATAATAGCTTTTGGCAATAGGTTACAAATTTTACGAAGTGTGGTAATGTGGTACAACGTATCAGTAACGATACCACTTTATCACGCCAAGAAAAATTTTGCCATATTTCTTATCTCGACAAAACTGCTTTAAATACGTTTATCGCAGGCTGTAGTGGTACTTTAAAGAATAATATACATATAAAAAAACCAACAAGTTTAGAAGACGCGATGGCCTATGTGATCGAATTTGAAAATTTTGAAAGGTTATATGGAAAATGTTATAGTGATTTTAATAAATCACAAAAGCCAAATTTTAATAGCCCACCTAATTCTTTTAATAATAATCAACAAAATCAATTTAATTCTAGAAATAACCATTTTAACCATTCAAATAATTTCAATAATTTTAAGCCACCCAGTAATTTTGCTACTCGTAACCCTTACAATAATAATCATAATAACAATTTTGGTAATCAACAACCCTTCCAATCAAAATTCGAGTGGCCATCACAACCGATAAATATTCAAACACAAAATGTACCACCTAGACGATATCCTACAAATCGCGAAGTATTTGGACCGCCACAGGATGTATTTAAACCACGACCTATACCACCGAGTCAACTACCGAAACCCGAGCCGATGTCGACTATGTCGCGTATTCCTAGTATGAATAGTAGAAAAAGTTTCTCACAGAATATCTCTAACGGACAGCTCTTTAACAGAAATCGCAATTCTAACTACCAAGAATTATACGCCAATGAATGTGAACAGGAAACGTCATACGATAACTACAATAGTAATGTATATTACGACGAAAATACTCAAAATTATACATGCGATAATTTAATTTATGATCAATATTATCGAGAATCAATAAATAATAAAAATATCGAACAGGATGAAAATTTTCGAGACACCAGCCTCGACGATCAATTGACTTGATCGAAATCAATAATATAGCTACTAATAATTCTTTACCATATATTGAAACAATAAACCCTTCTTTAAAATTACTAATCGATACAGGCAGCAATAAATCAATTATTAAACCTTCAATAATAGAACAATATTTTCCAAACTTTGTCTATCAAAGATCTAACATAATTAAAACTGCCATAGGTAGTAAACTAACTAAATATCAAGCTACAGTACCTATTCTTTTAGATTTTGGCATTAAAAATAATATAGACTTTATTCTCTTTGACTTTCATGACTTTTTTGATGGAGTCATAGGCCGTAATGATCTTATTCAGATGAATTTTAATATTAATTTAGTACAACAAAAGTTGACAGGAAATAACATCGAAATTCCCTTTAAATATCGACAACCCAAAGACGTAAATTTCTCTGGTTTTGTTAACCCCAATGAAAAAATAATTAAAAATATGCCTGTTAATGTTTATGAAGTTGAAATTTTATCTAAACCAGGAATGATTAACAATTTAAATGCTCTAGAAACTACATTCTTAGTTAACAACACAGGAGATACTAACGATACTATTGAAGAGTTTCGTGAAACTATAGACGAACTCCCGCCACTGGACAATGCGACTCGTAGTCTTAGGGCTAGACGTTCTGAAAGAACCGACAATTAAAGTCATTTCGGATATACGAATGCGACCCCTTAATAGAATAAGACCCCCTGAGAGAATAAAACCCCCTGATAGTATAAGACCCCCGGTTAAAAAAGGACCCCCTGATAGAATAAGACCCCCCGATAGTATGGGAACCCCTATCGTAATCTCTGACGACTCTACTGATTTTGAAATAGTTCACACGTCACTAGAAAACCCTATATTTAAGTTACCTGTTATTGAAAAATCTTTAAATACTTATAAAAATAAAATTATCCTAACGGTAGATCAAGAATCAATAAATTGTAGATATGACAAAATTCACGAAGTCAATAAAAATAAAAAGGAATCAATAATAAATAAACTTAATGATAATCGACAAGACCCACCAAAATTCCTTAACACAGAAACTGCTTACATAAAGACAAAAAATCGTTCTAAAGACTTGCCGAAATTTAAGAAAACTACCATTATAAACATTAGACGCAGACGATGGAAATAGATACGATTCAATAATTAATCAATTAAATAACGATCAAAAGAAACTAATCAATGAAGTCAATTTTCAAATATCTCTTTCAAAAGGGTTGATTGATAACTATAACAAAACAATAACTACTCTAAGCAAAAACCAAGAAAATCTTCAAAACCAAACCAAACCAAAAAAACCAAACCAAACCAAACCAAAAACCAATCTACCGATGACTGTAAAATAATCGACATCCACGTTCAAGAGCCTATCATCGAACAAATAACGCCAAGAGAAATACTTTTACTACCTTCAAGACCACAAAGAATATTTTCAAAATGTAAAACTGATCGATATTTGGAAATTCAAGAGCCCAGCCTAATCAAAATTTCCAAGGACTGTGAGGTTCACATAAATGATTAAATATATTCCAATGATGTCTCAATACAAGACAGCAAGTCTTTAATACTACCACCAATTAGTTTTGATCAAGTAAAAAGAAGTAAATCCTTCGAGGCCTTCAACATCACGAAATTAAATTTTGACAAAATGTTCGAGCTAAGACAAATGGTTAACCAACTGCATCCCTTAACCCCATCAACGAGAAGTTTCATGGACAATTCCACTGACATCATATTCATGGTTTTGTTGATCCTCATCACTCTGAGCCTACTCTTCATCACAAGAAAGAAGTTACTCTACCCTATGCTGAGCTACATAAGGAAGAAGATATGCCCATCCAAAAAAGAGATGCCCGAAGACCCACCACGAAAAGAAAACTCCGTCCCATGAGACCTGCTGATCATGCTTTTATTGATAAGTTTTCCTTTTAAGTTAATGTTCATTATAAATTCATTCTTTTGTCAGATTTCGTACGTACAACATTCACGCTGTATACTTTTAAATAAATAATTGTTTTTTAAAAAGAGTTTCCTTCCGTCGAACAACATAATTCGCCACTGTTTTATGACAAAATTGAAGAAACTAAACTAAAACTAGTTTTAGTGAACCCTAATCGACATTTGATTTCGGAAAATCGACTATACATAATATATCATATTTTACGCAAAATTGTAAAATTTCCAGGGATTTTGTGCCTAAACGGTTGACTTTAGCGAAAATTTTCATAAAACCTTTTTATAGGAAATTTTATTCTGTTTAATTTTGCTCTCTTCAAGTTTTTGCTCTCTTGCCGGCGGCAAGTCTGGAAGCGTGCATTTTATGGATTTTAATTAGGGACTCCAAAACCTATAAACCTGCAAAGTTGCAAAACTTCCAGACATTTTTCCAAGCAAAAATCCCAAATGACTGAACTATTTCGGTACTAGCAAATTTTTGTTCAATGATGGTGCAGTTCGTTAAACAGCAAGCAAGGGATGGTTGTCAAAAATAAAATCGATAAAAATTGAGGTTTAAATGAAAATAATATCAAATTATTAAGTAGTAATCAGTCATGAGAAATTTAACTTGAACACATGATCACAAATGACTCTCAAAATAAACTCAAAGCACAATTTTTTGAATTATTACTACAACCAATAGCAGTACACAATAAGGCACTCATTTTTTGTCAATCCATCTCTGTGCTGGGACGCAACGCTCGAACCCCGCAGGTCGACGGACGGAACTCAACTGAAACGCTCTGCAATCTGCCGATATTCGACAGATTGTAAAAACTGGCAGAAAATATTTGGGAGAGTGCAACTACTCTTTTCCTTCTACTATGCCTGTACTTTAAAATTTAATATATTTTGTTCTAGTGGACCGATTTTGATGTTTTTTTTAACGATTTGTAGCTAAATTATTTGACTTTTTAGTAGCTCTTTCTAAATTAAAAATGAAAGTTTCCATCTGTCAATTATATGGAGGAACACAAAATGTTGATATTTTGGTAAAAGTTTGAAACACTGGAATATGTAAACAAAGTAAGGAATTAAATTATAAAAATTAAATATATATAAAAATAGTCATCTAGGGACGTCTTTTCCTGAGTTTGTTTTTTGATTCATCTCAATAGCTTTATTTTTATTGAAGATATTCGCTTTTGAATATGACAGTAACGATTCACAGCAATTTTACCATTGATTTTGGGTACTCATCAACACACTTATAAAATAGTGTTTATTGTTTTTGTAATGTCACTGTAATTGAAAAGTCATATTATTGTTTATTGGAATTTACTCTAGTAGAGATGGTTTTAGGTTCTGAAGCATCGGCTATTACTGCTTTAATTGATCTGGTAGATATCAACTTTAGGACTTAAAACCATATCTGTTAGAGTAACTGC